GATCCCGGCCGCCCTTGAAGATGGTCCAGAGGACCAGCCCGTTGCCTGCCGTGCCCAGCAGGAAGACCAGCAGGTAGATGGTGGGCAGCAGGGCCAGCGAGGGGCCCCACTCCGTGTATTCGCACTCGGTCTCGTTGTCCCCGTAGGCGTAGGCGTCTGTCGCCTCCTCCATGCCGTCCGCTGGGCTCAGCTCAGCTCATCCCGGGCTCACTGAACTCCTCCGGTCCTCTGAGCCCAGCCCAACGACTCCCACCGGTCACCTCCCCTTCCTCCGCCCTCCTCCTTGATGGGATGGACGGGATGGACAGAGGGACAGAGCCCCGTGGGAAATTTCACAGCTCCACCCCCACACACACACCCTCCATCTGGCTCCTTCCCGGGGGGGTTTTACCAAGCTCTCACCCAAGTGTCAAAGCATCAACCCCTGAGATCACCTCTGTAACCCTGGGGAGGGGTTTTTGGTCACCCCACCGGTGTCCAGGTTTGGTGCCACTGCTCAGGAAAGCAGCCTCGGTGGGGCAGGGGGAGACGTGCGCCAGCCAATGTGCCACTCTACATTTGCATTTGGGGTTTCACTCTTGGGGTGCTGCATGCGGCACTTTGCACAGGGATGCGGCACTTTGGGTTTTGCATTGGGCGTCTGGAGCGTGGCATTGGGCATTTTGCAGCACGGTGTCGTGCTGGGTCCAGGCTTGGCAGGGGGGGATTCATTTGGCATTTGGGACATGGCATTTGGCGTTTTGCACTTGGGGTTTTGCATTTTGCAAAGAGTCGTGGCACCACGAGGGTCTCCAATTGCCAGGGGCCTGTTTTGAGTGTGATGTGCTGGGAAGCATTTATGTATTTACCAAAAATCTGGGGAGGGAGAGCTCCGGGGATCTCCCCCAGCCTCCAAAAAGACCTTTTTAAGCACGGTCTGCTGAAGGGCCAGACAGCAACCGGGAGCCCTGGCTACGTCACAGCTCTGTGCTCCTCCAGTGAAGGAGCCAAAGGCGGCAACGCCTGCAGGAAAGAAGAGAAATCACTCCCACCTCAAAAATAAAATACTCAGAGGGAGCAGGAGGAGGAGGAGGAGGAAAGCTCTGCTGGGACGGGGCTGTCCCACTGGGGCCGAGCTCTGGCAATTACGGCTTTGGGGAAAAGCACCGGGGAAGCCGAGTGGGACTTGGCAAAAAGTAAATTCTGAAAAGCCATGCGTGACCCAGGAGGTTGGGACAAGCGTGGGAGGGCTCGGGTGGGATGAGGAGCCACAGGAGCGGAGGTGCCTTTCGCTGTCGGAACAGGTAAATCAAGAGAGGAACGGGCTGTGCAAATGGCACGGGCAAAATCCGAGCGCTGGTGGAGGAACCGGGGAGGGGAAGGAGGCTGAGGAGGGTGCACCCACCCCCGGTGACCCCCCGCCGGTGCCATTTGCCAGCAAAGTGGTGCAAAGAGCTGGGGGTGCTGGGGTGTTTGGGTGGCTGAAATAGGGGTGGGCCCCAAACCAGCCACCCAACCGGGACCCAAAGCCATCAGCCTTGGAGAACAAACAGGGCTTAATCGAGCTGGAGATAAGGAATAATAAAACATCCTAATGGCCGGGACAGACCCTGGGAAGGCGCCCGTTAACCCCGCAGGGTGAGGTGCTGAGGCCAGCTTGGAAGAATTCAGGTAAGAAGCTGCTAAAAAAAAATAATAGAGGCATAAACGTGATGGTGAAGTTAACACCCAAAGTCTGTTGAAAGAAGGCATGAACCCCCACAGAAACCGAGCCTGATGAAGACGTTACTTAAGCCTATTAGCTAATAAATGGAATAAAATAGGGAAATAAAAGAAATGCTAATTAGACCCTTGGTATCGCCGAAAATTGCTACAAAGGGAAATGTTCCAGCCTGGGTAACAAAGATCACTATTAATAACAATCCCGGCTATTTTCATCTTCTGTGGGTAGCACAGAACAGGTAACCCTTTCCAGCCCTGCCAAGGCAATGCCTTGCCAAAAAGCTGTCAGCAACACCAGAGGGGCTGAAGAGTCCCCAGGCCCCCCTGGCTGCCCTGGCAGTGGGGACGGCACCGCTGGTGCAGAGCCCTCAGTGCCACCCTGGTGTTCTGACGTGGTCCCCAGCTCCGGGCTAACCCAGACGCAGCCTCCTCCAGTGAAAAGGAGTGCACTGGCCACGGGGAGACCACCCGGGCTTGGTTTGTGGTAGCCACGGG